TAGAGAGGGGGAAAGAGGGAGAGAAACATCAGTGTGTGGTTACCTCTCATGTGTCCCCTACTGGGGGCCTGGCCTGCAACCCAATTGAACCGGTGACTGTTGGTAGGCTGGTGCTGAATCCACTGAGCCACACCAGCCAGGGCTGTGTGTGGACTCCGATACATTTAGGGACTACTTCTCTCCATGAGGTAGTATGTTACTCCTTAAGTGGTGGTGATAATAATAAATGTGAGTAATGCACTATATACACAAATTCTTAAAAAGAATTGTTTGTAATTTCAAAATCTATACTGTATTTTCTTTTCAGAATAAAAAAATTTTGCTTTTTCTGTAATACAAATGGAAACACAGAAAAAAAATAAAAAAAATTTCATGTTACTAAAAAATAATCTTTTAAAGTAAATACATAGATTCTGTTATATAGATGCATCATATTTAATTTGGCCAGTTCCCTACTAATGAATTTATTTTTTCTCCAGTTTTTGCTTATAAGTTATGCTATGATGAAAATTCTTGTATATAAATTATTATATACTGAGCAGGAATTTCTGTGTTAACAGATATGCAATGTTCAGTTTTTTTCTTAATTACTCTTTAAATATTTTTGTAGTTAAAAGGAAATTTAAACAGCATTAAAGGACATTGTAATAAAAGGAAAAATCAATTTTATTTTTTTTAAGTATTTTAAAAAAGATTTTATTTATTTATTTTTAGAGAGGGAAGGGATGGAGAAAGAGAGAGAGAGAGAAACATCAATGCGTGGGGCCGTGGCCTACAACCCAGGCATGTGCCCTGACTGGGAATTGAACCTGTGATGCTTTGGTTCGCAGTCCGAGCTCAATCCACTGAGCTACACCAGCCAGGGCTAATTTTATTCTTTTACTAACTCGTTTGTTTTGGTTTTTAAGCACCTATTCTTAGGTCTCACTAGACCTATCGAAAGAGAATTTTGGGGTAGACGAAGACATATACACAAAACAATTACATTTCTGGGCATCTTCTGTTAATTATGAGGTAAGGGAGTCTAAGTAACATTTGCTAACTGCTAAGAAAGCAATAACAAGTACTATGGGAATTCAGAGTGAACTCAGGTGATTAGGAAAAGCCTCAACCTGGATCCAGAAGGGGGATATTCAAATAGAAGGTAGGAAACCATTCCTGGCTTTCAGAATGGTATGAACAGATTTGAGGAAGGCATGTGGGGGAAAGGACACGTGATTGTACATACGAGCTGACAAGTAGTAGCGTCTGGACTAATGGGAGAGGATGGCTCATGTGGTAGTGTGATGGAGAGGCTTGTCCAGGGTTAAAGATATACCCCACGTGACCAAATTTATTTTTAGGACATCTGAAGTTGTATGGATCTATAAAATAAAGCAGATAAGTAGGTGTGGCCCAATTTAAGAAGAAGTGAATATATTAAAGTCTCTTTTTATAACAAATATAGGTTGTTTATTTATATAAGTTAATTAATTAATTTTTAAATATTTTATTTATTTCTAGAGAGAGGGGAAGGGAGGGAGGGAGAGAAACATCAGTGTGTAGTTGCCTCTCACGCACCCCCTACCGGGACACCTGACCTGCAACCCATGTGCCCTGACTGGGAATTGAACCCATGATCCTTTGGTTCATGGCACTCAAATCCACTGAGCCACACCAGCCAGGGCTGAATTATTTAAATAGTGAACTTCCCCATAGATCTTGAAGTTCTCATCACAAGAAAAAATGTTTTTTGTAACTCTGTGTGGTGATGGATGTTAAGTAGACTCACCGTGGTGCTCATTTTCCAGGATGTATATACAGATATGGAATCATATGTTATACACCTGAAACTAATACAGTGTTATTTGTCAGTTGCACCTCAATTTTTAAATGAACTTCCCAATACTTAAATACTTATTTTAATACGTAGTTTGACAGACATGTTGCAAGTTTTGTGGATCTGGGTTTCTTCTATAAAATCAAAGGGTTTAGACAAGTGGCCACCAAAGTACTTTCTGGCATTGAAATTGTTACATGACCTTTCTAGAATACCTCGATTTTATGAAGTAAATTGGCCTGTAGTTAGGCCGATACTTCTGTCTCTGCAGGCACCATGATGTGCTCCACACCTGTGGCAGCAGAGATCCTCAGCTGGATGATCCTCTCCCAGCCTCAGAGGTTTAGATTGATTCACCTTTAAACACTCAGTTGTTCTCATCATTTATTCCTAAGTGACATTTAGAGATTTTCGTCTGAAAGAATTTTACTGCTAAGATTGAACCTCAAGAGGATGCTGTGAGGTTGAGAGGAATTATTACATAGTAATAGTCCGTTTTAAATTATCCTCATGTAAATTATCTGTGGGAATTTATCTCACGCTGTAGAATGTAGAATTTCTTCTACATTTAGTTCACTCACATGATGTTTTTAATGTATGGCCATGCTATGGAAATACATTTTTTTTGTTAGTTCAGCCCAAATACAATTTTAGATATAAATCTATAGGAGAAATTACACAATACATTCTAAAGTAAAATGTTAAGGACTTCCTTTTTACTGTCTGTTTTGAATTAATTAATTATACCACTTTTCAGCTCCTTAGTGTGGATAATTGAGAGATCACTAATACTTTTTTAAACTTAGAGACTTTCTCTTTAAAGTACACAATCATATTCAAAGCTAATTAGTGACATACTTTAAGTATCTCCTTCCAGCCCTGGCTGGTATATAGCTCAGTGGATTGAGCACGGGCTGTGAGCCAAAGCATCGCAGGTTCGATTCCCAGTCAGGGCACATGCCTGGGTTGCAGGCCACGGCCCCCAGCAACCACACATTGATGTTTCTCTCTCTCTCTCTCTCTCTCTCTCTCTCTCTCTCTCTCTCTCTTTCTCCGTCCCTTCCCTCTCTAAAAATAAATAAAAATAAAAATCTTTGAAAAGAAAAAAGAAACCTTAAAAAAAAAAAGTATCTCCCTCCAGCCTCACAGTCTTTTCACTAAATTGTACTATCTTGGACCAAAATGTTGCCTTTAGAGGGAATCAAGGTAAGGTGTCATAGGTGACCCACTAGCTTTTCTTGCAAGTTCTGTCAGAATGCTGCTAACTTGATGGGGTCTTCAAGATTCAGGATCCATCACTGTTTTCCAAGTAAACTCCGTTTCTTCGTTGTCACCAGGGTTGATTGGTTTCATGGGAAAGTGGCTAACCAAACTGCAAGGGGCTGGCAGATAAAACCTCCTGTACTTGGAGGGGTAGCCTTTTCCATGACCAAGAAAACATGTCTGCTCAGTCCATTCTCCTAGCATTGTGTATTACTAAAAATCTAATAACAGTAGCTAATGTTTACTGAGCACTTACTGTGTGTCAGGTACTACTCTAAGGGTTTCACATGTATTTAACTCATTTGATCTCCACGGTAACCTTATGGGAGAGGTATTCTTTATCAGTATTTTACAGGTGAGGAATCTGAGGCACAGAGAGGTTTTTAAGTAACTTGCCCGAACTCCTACAACCACTGTATTGGACTAAGCAAAAGATCACTTGGAATCTTAACAGAGGGAAGTAATTTGATCTGGATTATCATATATTCATTCACTCGTTTTTAAAAACATTGATTAAGTGTCTACAATTTGCTGGTCACTGTCTAGACACCAAACTTACCAAGGTGAATATATAACACAGTTAAGTGCCCTCTTGGTACTCTGAATCTAGTGGAAAAGACAAATAAATGCAACAGCAAGAGATTGACACATTCAGAGTGATGAAGAGAGCCCTGGCTGGTGTGGCTCAGTGGATTGAGTGCTGGCCTGTGAACCAGAGTCACCAGTTCAGTCCCTAGTCAGGGCACGTGCTTGGGTTAAGGGCCAGGTCCCCAGTAGGGGCTGTGTGAGAGGCAACCACACATTGATGTTTCTCTCCCTCTCTTTCTCCTTCCCTTCTCTTCTGTCTAAAAAAATAAAAATAAAAAATAAAAGAGCTGATGAGAAAGCATTTAATTTTACTTGAAGAGATTAGAGTAGATGTTTGCAAAGAGGAAGGAAAGGCAGTCTGGGTCATGCAAAGATGCCGCAGTGAAAAAACGGCTTGTTCCGCAGGAATGAAACAAGAAAGTATTGCATTAATTAAGGTAATACTGCAGTATACTAATGTTCTGAACTGATTAAGCTGGTTGCTGGTTGTGGGGATCAAGAGAAATAGACCATTTTGGGATATATATCTGAGGTAAAATTGACAAGACCTGGTGATTGACTAAATCAGGGCGGGGAAATGGAAGTGCGGGGGTAGTGAGGAAGCTTGGGAAGTTAAGGATAGCTCCAAGGTTTCTAGTTTGAGTACTTGGATGAAGGGCATGATTACTGGAAAACTAGGTGTTCGGCGGGGCGGGAGGAAAATGGGTTTTCATTTTCATTGTCTAGCCACGAAACAGCTCGTAGCAGGAAGTTAGTTTGTGGTACGGAAGAAATACGCTTGCACATGGTAACTGATACCGTGGGAATTTAAGCAGTGGGGGTGATTTGTAGTGATTTGAATTGGTAGAAGGCAGGAGTAAAAGTAGAGAGGGGCCAGTACTCCTCTATTTTCAGTAAATCCTTGTTTAAATTTTTAGGTCCTTTTTTATTTGCTTTTACTTGGTAGAAAGAAATCTTTTGAAGTAAGTGATTCAAATAACTCTTATTTATGGTTGTTGGCCTAAAATTCACATGAAAACTCTCTTGTTATTTTGATTATGGTGGTAATTGAATGTGCATTTTGTCAAAATTCACAGACCGTACTGTAATTTTATGTAACAGGTAAATTTTACTGTATATAAAAATTCTTTTAAATATGCATTCAGAGTTTATCCCAGAGTTCTGTGGGTGCTTTTCTCCTGTATTCTTTTAACAGTATCTGATTAGAACTTTTTATAATGCCAAAACCTCATTTTAACAAATTCCTCTAAACTTTGTCACCAGTTCTTTGACCAAGCTCACAAATCAGAAAATGGGTAGACTTAAATTTATCTATTCTTTTCCTACTCAGTTATCACTGTTTGAAGACAGGGAGGCAACAAAGGAGCTGAAGAATCTACAAATTGGATAGTGAGCACTGTATTGATTCCAGCCTTTTTTCCCCCCAGTAAATTGTGAGTGATTGCACTATATATATCTACAATATTTTTTAAAGTTTCTTTTTTAAATAAGCTTTCATCTTTAATTATAGTAGGAATTAAAATAAACATCATAATTTCATTCTAGAATAATGAAGATAACAATATTGTCTTTATTGCCAACTATAATGTAAAGATATTTTAAATTAGCTAAATTAACATCAGTTATGAAAGTCAAAGTTTATAGACATGCAATGTTTATAGAAGTGATTGGGTTTTACTTATAAACTATGTGGAAGTCTCGAGGACATTAGACATTAGTTTTTGGTAATTTTTGTGCAGCAGTAGACTGAGACACCTCCATTCCTCTACTGTACTGTGCTTTGACTGCTGGGCCTTGTATAGAGTACATGCTCATTAAAAACCCACACAATGAAAAAAACCCCAAACTACTTATTTTTGGAGGTTATTTGCATTACGTGATTTGATTGGATAAACTTTTGTGGCAAGTAGGGGAAGTAACCAATAAATATGCACTTTGGTTACCAGACTGTCTATAGCCAATCATGAACCATTATTTTCTTTTATGTCATAGTAGCTTGCCATGTAACAGGAACCCAACCAAATATTGCTTTACTTTGTTTTTTACTTAAGTACAAGCTCAGTGTTAAATTTGATGTCTTTAGATTTGACTTTTGGATTAATTTCAAGTATTCAGTTATTTTCTCTTCTTCATCCATTGCCGCTTAATATCAATCTCAAGTCCAAGAAACATATTCTTGTGTGTCTTGGAAACAGTAGATTGTATTGAAGGATGTAATTATTTCATTTTGGTCTGAGGCCTGCTCTTTGATTATGTGATTGGAATATTTGTTTTCCTTTGCTTTATAATTTTTATTTGAAAACTCTTAACCTAAAATATTTATCTACGAATCTGTGGAATTCAGCCTGGTAGATGGGACATTGAATTCCCTTCAGTAGAATTTGCCAGCACCCAGAAGACTTTTTCTTCAGCTGCAGCTAATCTTAAAGGGCCTATCCAAATCATATACTTACAGGTAAGGGATTCTTTATTAGTATTAGAATTTGGGGACCTCCCACATGATTTTTTGGATAATATCATAGGCAGGACACTTTCCAAGTAACCCTTTTATTTCATTTTGTGGCCCATTTAGTTCAGTTCTCCCTCCCTTTCCCAGTTGATGTTGTGTTGGATGCCTGGAACTATGTGCTCTGAGTCCAGTGTCTGGCATTGGCACCGATCATTTGTGATGTAGTTGGAACTAGGGTTGAGCAGACCACCTCATTTTAAAAGAGATGCTTCTGGCCCTCAGTCTAGGACTTCCTGCGCTTGGTTAGTTCATGTGTAGGTATGTATAAGGCTCACCTTGATTCTAAGTGCTTCCCATTAATCTTGAAATTGCTTTTTTTGGCGGGGGGTGGGGGGAAGATCTCTGATAATAGAAGAAACCAGGGGCAATTTTCTTAAGAGAATTAATGTTGGTTATGGTTGATTTACTTGGGCCAGGAGAAGAAAAGAATGTGTTGGAATAATCTCACATTGAGTGTTCCTAGATTGTATTTTCCTACTTAAAAATTAGAGGGTGCTTCTGCTGGAAACAAACATATTGTATTAGATACAGTGCATTTCCCTAATTATAAATTAAAAAAATATTTTTCACATTTCAGTGTAAGACCAAAGTATAATGTTTTCTGCCCCCACCCTCAATTTGATAGCGTTCTATAACTGAAGATAGAATAAATACTTACACAGTTGACCACTTGAACAATGTGGGGGTTGGGGTACCAGTTCCCACGCAGTTGAAAATCCATGTATAACTTTTGACTTCCCCAAAACTTAACTACAGTCCCTCAGTATCTGTGGGAGATTGGTTTCAGGACCCACTGTGGGCAGAAACCAGAATCTTATGACACCCAGGTTCCTCATACACAATAGTGTAAGTGCATAGACTTGGCCCTCTGCACCCCCAGAATCTGCGATTGGGAAATCTGAGGATGCAGAGGGCCGACTGTGTATTTTTTGAAAATATACACTGCTTATAAGTATATATTTCTGCTTATAAGTGGACCCATGCAGTTCAAAGGTCAGCTATAATAGCAAATTATAGGACAGTAAAATGAGAACTTTTGTCTATATTTATTTTGATTTTAGAAATTTATGTGCTCCCCCATACATGTACACACACACATTCACACGTGCACTTATTCCTAAAGTTGCCTGATATTCACATGGTCCTTTGCAAATACTTCCTATTAAACAAAGATGATAATTTTCAAAGTGGATAGTGTGAATAACTTAACAGTTATTATCTACTGCATGCTAGGCATTATTCCAATTATTTAGTAAACACCACTTTTAAAATACAGCAGGAGTTGCTTCCTATGTGCTTTATTAAACACTTAAAAATTTTTTTTTATTAGTATTTATGCCAAATATACTCCCTGGTCATAAGTCTTTGTTTTTTCAGTTTCTTCCAGGATATCTTGTTCTTCTGCACAAACTCTGTTTCTGGTCTAAGAACAGTCTACTCTTTTTCAGTAAGGGTCATTGCAGTGTGGTAGGTCTGAGGGCTCGTGTGTGTGTTAATCCGCCCTGAGCACTGTCGGCTCTGTGCCCCATTTTAGGAGTTTTGTTCACCTGGATGTGCTCGATGACCAGAGAATCAACATCTGCACCCTTAAGTTCAGCATGACCTTCTGCATTTTTAAGCACATGTAGCAAAAACTCGGCACTCCTTTTGGGCCACCAGCTCTGTGTCCAGCCCCACTGTTTGGCCTGGGCACACCTGCCAACTCCACCATTGTAAGGACAGAATGGCACACATTGCTTCTGTAAAGTGACATCCTTCGGATGCTTGGTGGCTTCTTGATGGTGCATACATCGCTCCATCCAGCATGCCGACGTGCATACCTTGATGGCCTGGGCAGCTTCACTGGTGTTCTTAAAGTGAACATGAAGAGTTGAACTTGGTGATTTGTGTGATTTTATGGTGTTTTCTGGGTCAAGTGAATAGCAGACCATTCTCAGAGTTCACCTCTGGCTGCAGCTATTAATACTTTTATTACCTCTGGAATAATGCACTATTCCAATTAATTTTGGGGTAAAAAGCTGAATTAATAGGGATCCTTTACCAGTGGTAAAGATAAGAAACTAAATTGACTTTTTACTGTGGATAACCATCTCTGGATAAAAGTGGCCAGACTGTATATAGAGGAATTCAGTCATACATGTTATTAAATCCGTACCCTGATCTCAGACAGAACTGGGCCTCCTTGTAATTAATAGAATCTGCAATACAGGTTTGCTCACTTGCTCTCCTTGTATTTCCTCTCTATGCCCCACAAATTTATTTTCTATCAGTATCTTTTACAAATATCTGAAGGAAACAATAACACTTAAATCTTGTAAACAAACAAGTACCACATATCATTTCTGGTAAATTTTTGGCTGGAGTTTTTCCACTTAATTCATAAAAGATATTTCTGGCCTTTTCTCTAGGGGGAGATGGTCTAAATCTCACTGGCTCTTCTGCCTAAAGGTTTGTTTCCGTCTCTGTCTCTGACCACCCCGGATGAGTATCAAGAGGATAGACGCTCAGAAATATGGGGAATCAGGCAATTGTGTGGGAAGTATGTATTATTGATACAACATTTGATAGGGCAGTTTAGCAATATCTGTCAAAATAAACAGTGCCCTGCTCCTTGGGCTTGGCTGCACTGATGTTCAGATATACCTATTTGCTACGTTGTTTGCAGTAGCAAAATCCTGACAGCCACACAACAGAATTCTTTGCAGCCGTTAGAAAGAGTAAGGTATGTGTGTGCCTGCAAGAGAATATCAGAGAGGATGTGTGTGTGCTTGCTGATACATGCTCCTTTTGGTTTTCTGTGTTTTTTGTTTGTTTCTAAAGAAGAAAAGAAAACTGGTTATCTTTAGGCTTTGGAAGAGGGATTTGGGTGCCTATAACTTTTGAATTATTCTGTATGTGTACTGCTTTTCATTTTCAAAAAGCATATGAAGAGAGGCAGATAGAATTTTAACAGTATTTCCAAAGGAGCATAGAACTTTAGCTCTGAAAGGGACCTTAGAGATTCTTGGACAGTTGCTCTCAATTTAAAAATGAGAAAATTTAGATTTCCGAAAGTATTTGCAAAGCTTGCACTAGAATTCAGGTCCTGAAAAGGCAAAAGCTTATAAATATATTGGCTTGTATTCTTATTCTAAAAGTTTATTTAAATGATTTTTTTCTTGTTGTGAAAAATTGATTTTGGAAGACCAAATAAAATGTTAACCTTTCTAAGACAGTTTTTTTTAAACTTTAAATTCTTTTTTGTAAAGATTTTATTTATTTTATTTTTAGAGAGGGGGAGGGGAGGAAAAAGAGAGGAACAGAAACATTATTTTATTTTAGAGAGTGGTGTGTGGCTGCCTCTCACGCACCCTAGGACCTGGTATGTGTCCTGACTGGGAGTTGAACCAGCAACCCTTTGGTTCACAGCCCGGTACTCAATCCACTGAGCCATACCAGCCAGGGCTAAATTCTTTTCTTTCAATTGTATTTTATTGATTTTGCTATTACAGTTGTCCTGATTTTTCCCCCTTTGCCCCCCCTCCACCCAGCACCACCCACTCTCTCAGACAATCCCCCCACCATTGTTCATGTCCATGGGTCATGCATGTAAGTTCCTTGGCTGCTCCATTTCCTACACTGTACTTCACATCCCCATGGCTATTTTCTGACTACCCATTTGTGCTTCTTAATCCCCTTACCTCTTCACCCTTTCCCCCATAACCCCCTTCCATCTAGCAGCCATCAAAATGCTCTCTGTATCCATGATTCTGTCTCTGTTCTTGTTTAGTTTGATTTTTAGATTCAATTACTGATAGATATGTATTTATTGCCATTTTATAGTTCATAGTTTTGATCTTTTTCTTAAGTAAGGCCCTTTAATATTTTATATAACAATGGTTTGGTGATGAAGAACTCCTTTAGTTTTTTTCTTGTCTGGGAAGC